ACCGACACGAAACAAATAAACTTTCGCTTATTGGCTAATAAACCATGACTCTGTTAGCCCGTCCAAACCAGACATAACTGAAATAAATAGGTTAATGGTACGCTCTGACTGCAAATACTGAGGAAATATTATAGACTGAATAAAGGAGATCCCTTCTTACCGCCTTTATGGGTCTTTGTTTACACGCAGACCGCATAAGTAACGACTCTGAAATTTCATTACTTATTGAAATAAGAGTCCACAAATTTTATAAAAATAATATCATTGAAGGATTAAAATAATCCCTGAGCTATAAGCGATTTTTTTATGTCCTTCGGATAATCACAGCTGTCTGTTACTTGTTCCTCGTCGCAGACGTGTGAAATAAACGAACGGATGCTGCTGGGTTTGTCTATAGAAGTGCCGCCACTTATTTGTCTAACGTAATCGTTTATTGATACAAGATGTTCTTTTACTTTGTGTGACTCCCTCAATTCTGCCCGTTTACTGTTATACGACTTGTTCAAGTTATTCTAATCAACTATGTTAAAACATGTTTCCCTTAGGGTAGTTGACCGGAACTTTGACATTGTGGACCAAGTTTGCCTTCTGGTCCAGCTCGATCGCACGAACGACGATCGCACACCCATGTATAATCTTGCAGCAAGCGAGACTACTTAGTTCAGTCAGCCTGTTATTCTATGGCTTGAAAGACCTCTCAAGGGATGGCTACAAGTCATGAGCGCCACAAACGAAACTCTTCAACTTGGCACCAACTTTGTAACCATTTTGCAAAGGCCGTACGTATGCTCTGGGTCTCGTCAATTGCGCGCATGGCTTCCCTTCCACCAGCGGGTATTCGTAAAGTCTTATTGACTGGAACGATGACGGGAACCTGTTACAGTTTATATTTAACAACTCAATTGATTTATCTAAGTGGTTCGTTTGTCGCCAACACACGGCGTGCAAAACTTCTTTCTGATCCGCGCGACAAAAGGTTGATTAACATGCTATCGTATGGTTTCGTAGTGGTCCTCTTGCTTCCAATCTGTTATATCCTATATCGATTAAAATAATATTCGCATTGACTTTCACTACGCTGTGTGAAGACAAAAACAAGTCTATCGCGCGTCCTGCATTGCAGAGTAAACGGTATAACTTATATCGAGAACAACGATATATTTTTTTAAACATTCTCCCCATAAAGCGTTTTGATTTTTTCAAAATTGATAATCGAACTTTAAGTCCTTTAAGTTGAATTGTCAGTATCAGTAGTCATAGTTATAAGTATCAGCAAATAGTAAGAATCGTAGACATAGTCCTATTTTTCCTGGTAGGCCTTTTCCTTTAGCCTTATGTAAATCAGTCGCAGAATTGGCACTGCGTAAATCTTTAGGTAGATCTACAGGGATCATACGATTTATCTGATTGTACGAGATTTTCAATAGAATCGTTGAATTGCGCTGAATCGAGGGGTTCTTTGGGGGATAAACGCTGTATACTCAAGGAAAGTATGTATCATACTTAATATATACGTTTAGTGGTAGAAGTCAAGTTAGTAACTATTCTATATCCTTACAACGTTCAGCCAGGCGAGAATTACAGCTCTAGAGAAATTTGTACTTTTCTCGAAGAATCTCCCAAAAAGACACTCACGAAATTACCAACACACCATCGATAGAAAAGTGGCTTGTTTTTATCTCCTCACCTTTCGTTTTCTGGAGTTATACACTTCTCATAAGTACACCCAGATTTAATGAACGCTGTGGTATTATGAATGTATCACTGGTCGAATTATCTTTTGGATTGTTATCTAGGGTTCTTCAGTTGTTTTGTTCATCGCGAACGTGACAACCGATCCTTCATGACGCTTGATTTTCGAAAAACTACGGATAAAAGCAACCCGGCTGGCTGGCTGGCTGGCTGGCTGGCTCAGTTTACAATTCATTTTGTAATACCTGATGCAGGGAATCGGCATATAAGAGAAACGTTCTTTTAGAATTCCGTATGTCACTAACATTCGTAGGCTCATTGAGGTTTTGAAAGATGATTGAAATACATAGACGGTGGTGTAAGAGAAAGGTGTCAATGTGCGGTACTGAATCCCATCCAAAGATCTGACTAACTACATATCGATTAGATGTAACGAACAATAGCTTCACCATAGATACCAAATGAATTCATAGCAATAAAAAGAAATGTAGTCTGAAATGCTTTTTATTAAAGCGTTCGCTGCATTTATGAAACGATATGCATTACCAAGACCCTTTGAAACCCTTTAAAATATCAGTTGTTAAAACATCGAATAAACTTGAGCTTCTCTGTAAAAACTGTGGTGATTAGATGAGTCCTTATTTTTCCAGGATAACGCATGCTGAGAGAGAATAGCGGTCGATTTAGTAATGCATAGAAACCGTATGTGACTAATCTAGTTCTTACCTCAACCAAACGGACTCGGCAAAAAATCTCTAACGAAAATTGACGAAGCACTGACATTAAAGCCCTTGTACTAGTTGGTTACACAGTCGTTCTCGCTGGAAATCTAAAGCTTAAATGTGACATAAGTTTCACCTATCGACTACAGCTGCCCTTCTCAAAGGAGCAACAACGATCCCAACAATGAATGACAAAGAAATATTTTTCAAAAAATTTCTGCATTAAAATAGAACTACAGCAGTTTGTTGCCGACCCAGCGAGAAATCACAATATTCTCGATGTTTTTCTGTCGAATAATCACTCTAAAGTCGATGTGACGATCCATCAAGCCCCAGTCGTTACTAGCTATGCGATGGCCACGTTCACGGTTTTATGCAACTTCCTATCCTCAACATGTATGGTTGTCATTTCTGGGCCCGAAGAAAGGAAGCATAATTCATAATCTTCTAACCATCAACTAGAATCGTTATTTCTCCATTTACCATAATGAAAACATGATGTACAAGCACTTTGTTTTTTACGCGACATTTCTTTTAGGTCTTCGTTGCAACGAAAATAGCGAGTGATCAACGCAATACTCATCGGCTTAAGGAAGAAGTAGTAGCCATGTTTCAGCATGGGCTATAGAAGATGCTCGCCCGAGAGAGGACCATCAATGAAAGATGCGTCATTCGGGACCGAGATTCATTTGCAACTCACAAACATCCAGTGGCGCCTTAAGGCTAAAGATGATTTTAGCCTACTAGAAGACCAAATGGGACAGTGGCGATTGATCTTGCTGAAAAAGCGCTTTTTTTCCACGTACCCGTTGCCTGTAGAAATTAGTCAGCATGCGCTCTAGCTTTAAGTGTTCATCAATATTCCTAATTAATGCATATGATCTACTGCGTTGACAGCTTGCCAGTCAATATTGAAGGCCACTTACCGAAAATAACAGATAAGCCGAGCGAGACATTTGTGGGATTTTGGAAAGCGCTATCTGCGAAGCCCTGGCCTCGCTTTTTCGACATTCGCTTGGCGGCGGTGTAGCTCTCAACCTCTTTCATGCCACCATCGTTGAAGCAGTCCACAATCGCGCCGGCAAAAAAGACGTCCAAAAAACGCCGGATTTATCCCGTTTCAGTCTTATGTTAACAGCTATCTAAGTGTGATCTTGAACGTAATATCCTACTTACTTGCAACAATTAAAATAGCCAGGACCTAATCTAACGGGAGCAGTATGCCTACCGGCCGAATCGTTCTGTTGCGGGGCGACTGTTAGAGAAGATGCAGAATAACTGGCCTTTCAGGACAGACGACGTCGAACCTTTTAATAGCATATGATTTTTATTTCAGGTTTCTATTCGAAACGGTTACGTACGATTAACTTCTCAATATTTTTCCCATATTACAATATATGATGTAAAGACGAAATCAATGAATCGGACTACGTCGTTTTTGAAGTTTCGTATACGGTTGAATGATAGCCTTTTTTGTCGTTGCCTGCTCATATTAGGCTTCTTACAGGGAGTAATTTTTAGCCCGCCTAAGTACATGTTGCATAAAAATTTACTAAAACGTGTTTCACCTAGAATTATGTAAGCCACATTGATAGTATGAAAATGTATGCAATAGTCAATGACAGTAGCAAACGACTGCTTCTTGGTAAATGTTAGGACAATTTTGAGAACGGTCTTTATATCGACCTATCTGTACCAAAATGCGCCGTACTACACTTCGAGCATCGAAATCCGTGAAGGAAGTTATTCAAACGAAGTCAGTTATAAAAGACATAGATGTGTTCACCACCATTTCTTTAAACGACGCGCCCAGATGACTGGAATTGTAGCAACTGCCACACAAACTCGTACAAAGCGTACAACTTTATAAATGATACCTTCTTCGTGATCTAATGTGCGCTTCACCGGTTCAGAACACAGACTTGCAGGAAAGCCTTTAGTTACGATTGTGACGTCAAAATGCGTAAACTTGAAAACAATAATATCTTCAAGCGTTTTTATAGAGTGCGTTAGTGTTACTACATCGTTTCAATTAAAGACGTGGACAATTATATATAAACATTCGTTGTTGTTTATTCGGCGTTTTTCTCAAACAACTGACCAAAACACGATATGTGACTTGAACTGAATACACAGAATGATTTTCTATAGTAATTGATCCCGTGGATCCATAATGTACATCGCGAGTCATTAAAATAAATGTCTCTAAAGCCAAATTGTAGCATTGCTGCAAAGCTGCTAGCAACCGTCCAACGGCCACCTACAAACACAGCGTACAATATGCTAGAGAGCTTTAATATGTAATATACCTATCTACATACCTATATCGAAGCCAATTATGTAGCATCTTCGTTTATTGCAGACCAATAGAAAAACCAATTCTGTGTGTGTGTGTGTGTGTGTGTGTGTTTGGGTTAAAAACAATAGTAGGACAATAGCCCTTGCCCGCTAGTACATAATACGTTTTACATTCAACAAGTATATGTAATACGCCGTATAAATACCCGGCCCTTTAGTAAATAATACCAGATGACGTTGGAACGATGCCACTAGACAGATATGAAAGTCCTGCCTGAAAATGGATAACGTCATCTGTTTCGCCTCGTACCAAATGTAAAAATATGTGACAACAACAACGTGATAAGGTCATCGTCGTAGTATAGTGCTTTCCCTTTTTCTGGGTGTTGCTAAGTGCTAAAGGGAACGAGCCCGACTAGGCAAAAAAGCGTCGACGGCCAATGCAACCGAGAGAAGTTCGTCTACGGCAGTGCGACGACGTCGTTCACCATTGCTCGTTTTTGCATCGCTTATTGCAATCTCCAAAAGCAGGTGGGTGTCTACGCTGACTGAGTTCTATCAGCCTTCTTAGGAAATCTTCAAAGGCGATCTATTCAACGTATGCAATTCTTTGTCGCAGAAGAGAACTTTATTTCGAAGAAAACGGAAAAGTGGATTTGTTGACTCGTCGAGCAGACGGATGGTTTGATGTTACGTAGAAGACATTTTTGGAATCTTCCCGAAATTCCCGATTTGGATGTACTTGTCCAGAAGTCTTCCACTTGCCGACATATGTTTCAAGTTATTTAAGCAATATAAGTTCCGTTGCAAACGCAAACTATCAAACTCAAGGAATCACAATTAACAACAAACCGAATAAAACCTTGTGAGTCTTTGAAAGATATAGATCTGGCCCTTTCGTACATCAACAAATGGACGTTTTTCCGTCAAAAATTTATGCCTTCATATTTAGTTCCTAGCTCTTCGTTTTCTCCTGCCACCGTTTTTTTCACAGTGCGAAGGAATCATGTGATGGCATTGGAGAGGGCCGGACGTTTCGCATCCTGTGACGTCAGGACCTGAAACGTTGGGTCCTCCCTATGTAAAAGCCCAGTTTGACGCAATAGAATAAATTTCCAACTTAATCTTCATACGATTAATGTGACCGTGAACTAATCCTGGCGACGGTGTCTCCAAACCGATTAAGCATTTGTATATCAGCAGCCAGTAGTTATTTAAAACAAGGAGAAAAACGCTATTGTACTTAACTCAGTTAATTTAGCAAACTCCTTCGACTGTAACACCTTCAGTCATTTGAGCATGTGTAAAGGAAAAATAAATAACTTGCAATTTTCTCTATATAAATATAGAAACAGCATTAATAAGGGTAGGTCGTTGTCGTTGATGTAAGCTCTGACATAGGGTTCCACTAATAAGAATTAAAAATACGTGCCTGTCGTATATTTTTCAATTGCGGCAAAAAAGCATTCAACTCAAGCTTGATTCTTTTTTTTTATTTATCAAAAATATTGGGCACACTCCTTTTGAGCATAATGTGGCAGCATTCTGATACATCACTATTTTACCAGCAACAATTTGCTTCTATCTTTTAGATGCTTCTTAGAAGTTGGACCTGAAGTCACATGAAAGTGAGTAGAGACTATTTTTTGTTATTATATAGACCTTTAATTTACCACGCTCTATGGACATGCTTCTAAAACAAGCCTATATTGGATCTGATGGTTAGTAACCATAGTTGAACAGCACAATTTATAGGGAACTTAGAAATAGGGGGAATAAGGACTTACCAAGGTAACGGCAAAGGCAATCGCCTCACAGAAATAAAATTTAAATTTCAAATAGGATGCCTGTGTGCCTTTGCAAGTTTGCTCTACTTTGCTTTTTTAGATGTGGGTAACTGCCCCAGGCTACCCAAAAAGCAACTCTGTTGTGCAACCTCGAAGGGGTTTTGGGTACAAGCAGAACACGAACACTCCCAGAAAGGCTCCAGGAAACGGATCAGCGTTTTATACCAAGGTTAGGCGCAGCTAAGTGTTTTCTCTCCTAAGCCCACGCTGGGAAACGTTTCAAACCTAGTCTAGTAGACTCGTGCTGTGACTACACGACGTGACGCCACAGAGTTTGTTTTTTTATGCAGAAAATATCATTGAGGCATAATTAAATATTAAGTACTGTTTAATTCTGACATGCATTATGTATATTAAGTAGGGCGCGAAACAATATCTCATGCCTCCTTGCTTTGGCAAAGTTTAGGAAGCTGAGATAGCCTGCTCTTGAAATTTCTTCTGCATGGTTAAGATCGGTTGGTTGTATTGGGAAGTTCCACGCGTTTCGCATAAGGATTTTTTAATACCGAGTTAAGCTTCGGACATCATTCTAGTACTACTGCTAACAGTTCCTACGAACGCAATATTTGTAAAGTATAGATAGACTGTGACGGTTTAATCTGACGATATGCAACACCCCTATAACCAAGATAACTATACGGGTTGTGTATATATAATAATTAAGTCATTAGTAATAATCGATAGCAAGTGTTTAACTATTGGTTGCATTAATACCATATATATATATATATATATATATATGGTATCGATGCAATCAGTGCACACATTATTGCCCAATTGACAGTTCACAACAAAAGGCCAGAATTTTCGCCTGTATGGCAGGCAAGGAATTAATGGAACGCTGCCGGCAGCAGCACATAGCTGGGTTTTTGTTTGAGCCTTATCGAAGAATTGTTTTTCTTTATAGCCACCTAAGTATTTTATCGTGTTGTTCTACGAATAGAAATATATCCTTATAATCTATATCGTTCATTGTATGATATTACATCATATACATGCTGGGAATTCCCTCAGCATTTTGAAAATTATAGCTTTATTTCTTTCCAAAGCTGCCCCATACAGGCAAAAAATACATTAGGTATGCACAGTTTATATTCTAAAAGTACATTGTAGCATTATCCAGTTGGCGTTTCGTGAGGTACTAATTAGAATTTTGATCACATCGGAGTTACACATTGAAGAAATGACGATTATTGAACAGAGATGTTCTGATATTGATCAGACAATTTCCTGCTCAAGACGACACTCAAAACCGCGATTTCAATGCCAAAATACAAATGATAATATAAAGCCAAAGTAAAAGACCGTTCGATTAATGGAAACGAGCCATTTGTTATTCGTGTTTGATTGTTGCGCGCATTAAATTGTATGCCCGTTACAAAAAATACTATCCTCAATGCATCAGTCATAACGCTATTATTAGCCAGTCCTCGGCGGAAGGCAGTAACACGGATAGAAAGAGGTCAATGGGTTCACCATAGTCAAGCCATGATGTATCGAATCAATCAGAGGCAATCATAAACTGGCCTGCGAAGGTCAGTTAAGTTTTTGGTATTTTCAACCTACCATCGAGGCTATTCGGACGAAAAAAAGATTATATATCGATTCGTAGCGTGCCACAAACTACAGTATGGAGCAGTTACGCAGCTGTGACGTACGCCAATTTGCGCTACAGAGTGAAAGTACGTCTTTTACTGCATCGGTAACAAATCTGTGAACTTGGAAAAAATTTGCGTCCCGCGTAGAGCGAATAGCCGCGATCACTACGTGCAGTTACCAGGGCTACGCGTTGTCCAGGACGATAGAAGGATTGGTTGTATAAGCCTGCGACTGCGAACACACGCAAGGTATGCCGGACGGCCTCGAAGGCCGGCAGGCTGTGCTACCTACTAGTTGGCCAAATAAAAAATGAAAAAAAAAAAAATAAATAAAGTTCCGCCCGACATGCGAAGGGGTTGCTTGAAGTTTAACTCACTAGACAGTAAAATATGAGAACAACTCGGCAGATAAGTGTGGTCGAGTTGCAATAGACTAAATACCATATATGTAATATATATAGTATATAATAGCATATATATATATATATAATATTCATCTAAGGTTTAAATGCACGTATACCGTTATTTAAACTCAAAGACCCTCATCCTCAAGGACCATTCATACTTACCGGCTAACAACAGAACGAAATCAGTGCGCTTCAGTGCGATCAAAGGGTTGCTTGGCCTAGTATAATAAAAAGAGCCTTCCGCAAAGGACTAAGTAGTCAGACCTAAAAATGACTGTCTCAAAAACATTATAATGGCGATAAAATAAAGTAAAAAGGTTTTTGATGCTTCTCTTCCATTGCGACGGCATTTTTACGATTGCACTCAGAATACATCAATCTATTTCGCAGGCCATTCTGTACATTGTCCTATCTCCATCCAGTCTAAAGGTATAACGGGACCAAGAACTGAGCGTTCGAAAAATGTCCTACTTTAGCTTATAGCGAGGGGTGGATTTGGAACAACAGTTAGGAGAAGAAGAATCGCTACATTCATAAATAAGATTTTAGTACGTACTTTTACGTAAGTTTTTCCAAATAATATTAGAATAAATACAATAGGTTGGATTTCTATGTCACATTAGAATTATGCTTATTTAGGTGAAATTTTAAGGTAGTCTAATAATTTCGTTGAATTGTCATCTCTCGGTTTGTCATTGACAGCCTTTCTTGAATAAGCAGAGGGTTTTGAAGGTTCGGCCTTTGCTTTTGTTAAGCGCTCCAGATGGATCATCTCTTGCGCTAATAATCGTTTCGGAACTGTTATGAACATTCGATTGTAGTCTCATTCGGGGCTACCTCTTCATTTCTGAAGGTAATATATTACTAAACAGTGCTCGCCATACTGTAGATGAAATAAAATATACTTAACGTGGCGGAGACGTTTCGTAGACCTATGCACCTAGCTGAAACTATGAGAACAGCTGGCGCCCAGATTCTTCGGGAACGTTCAGATGTCTTTCTCAGTGGCTAAAAATTTTATAATCATCTCTAGGTAAAATTGCCGATCCCATTAACAGTGAAATTAAATTAAAAGCCCAAGTATATGTCTTGGTTCTGACTTAATGGCCAACCGTCGAACTAGCGTCGAACGGTGTTTAGTAATACAGTGCTGTGTACCGCCAACGAACCATATAATCAACGCAGATGTTTGAAGCAGAAGCCATAAATCCAGCTAGCAATCACGAAATTAAAGGTGGAAACTCTGAGCAAGAAATTCCCACCAATGGTAACACGCATAACTAGCGATGCAAAAAATCCGTATACGTCAATTTATAGTTGTTGATCGTCGAACATTGCAATTACTGCTTTATTTATTGTGCTTATGTATATAGTACAGACACTGAACGAAACTGATCTTCCCTTGGGTCGATAGGCCAATTATAAATTTCTTGCTCAGGTAGCGTGTTATGTTCTATGAGATATATCGCCACAGAGGTGTAGCCCTGCAACAACTAATCTTAATATATGCAGTCGTTCGCTTAGAATTTCCAACGACTCTGTTATTTCTTGCTTCTAACTGCGTTAGCTTGTCCGTTGTACAGAGGGATGTACTGCTTGGCCTTATCGACATCTTCGTCTGTGAGAAATTTCGCATCCGGAATACCGAGACGGTCGTTCAGATAGAAGAACTCCTGTGACAGAAAAACGTATTGGCCAATTAGCATACAATATTTACAAGCAGCATCGCTCCGACATCTTCCGAATCGTCAACGAATTAACTAGTGCCCATTTATATATTTTCTTTATTTAAAGAATTCGGATTTAGATGAACATTGCTGCTAGTGGGCCTTGAATATGTGGGCTTGCTACCGTATGGTTCTAGGTAGCTGTTGACGCCGAGGGAGCCGTAAGGTGCGCGCACTGAGCTTCGCAACCTCCAAACGCGTGTTCCCCGGAATACTACCAATCTAGCCCTCACGATAAGTTGTCGCTATGTAAAGACCTATTCTGCCGGAAAAGTGCGCGTAAAAAGCTTTTTGCGCAAATGTCCGAATTCACACACGCGACCTATTAGTTGGCTTATGCAAAATATCGTGTTCGTTCAGCTATTACCGTGATATAGCCACGAATGGATTAACGTTAAACAAATATTACAAAAAGCGACAAGAAATTTTCGAGAGAGGTTCTCGTGTATGAAAAATGTATGATGTACGTGCAAAACACCCGCGACTTGCGAATGGTCTATTGCAACATACTGTGTAATAAAGCCTTCTTATTTACTCTGTTTGTGCCGAGCTTCGCATCAATATATTGTTAACTTAGCAGAAAACCTCTGTCTGAGGATTTACACTAAACGCAAAGACTTCGAAGCACTACTGTTCATATGTGTAGGTACTACATTATAGACCTAGCGAAGCTTACCAGCTCTATAGAAGTAGTCCGGATATGTAGGTTCATGAACAAGCAACGTAACTTAAACTCTATTGAAGTTAACAATACCCTAATCAATACGCTAATTAATATTCTGTCTTAGCTTACTATTCGTTTAATTTTAGTATCCTTGTCCGTTTAACTATATATTTGTGGTTAAGACTTGCCCTGAGTCTTATCTGCTGTATCTTCACTCTGATACATAATAATTGCTTCTTAGCTTAGCATAATTGATACATAATAGGATACGCCAGGACTATTCGTCTAGACAGAGTCGTATTAATTCGAACTTACCGGAGCGTTAGCGCACGCTACGGCCTCTTCAGGCCACGCGCAGGTGAACGTCAGTTGATTGAAGACAGTCTGATTACCGCAGAAAAATGAGTATGTGAATAACTCGTGTTTGCCTGTAGATTTGGCGACCAACAGATCAGGACAGATCAGGAATTCGGTGAACGCAGGGAGACCAGCGATGCAAAACAACATTAGAAACAGTAATGTGCCTTACCAACATTAGCGGAACTGAGCTGCGAAGTTTTTTTACCAACCCGTACAATACAAACGTGCTAGTAACGATCCACAATAAACAATCATTTAGGCCATAAGGCTAAGTTTCAGGATAGATTAGGCTAAGCACTGTAGGAGAGGTAACCGATTGACCCTTGCTGGCTCACGGACTATTTGCGAGCGAGCCGCAACCGAGAAACTTCAAAGCCCTCATTACGATAGTACATTCTTGCTCCACTGAGCCTTATTGATCTAAATAAAGTTTCAGCAACTCGATGACCAAAGTATTTGTCTCAAATTGTCTTAACTTCTTTTTTCAACTGGGTAAACAAAAATCCTACAGTGTCTAATAAAATTCAGAGTAAATGTGAAATATGCGTATCAGGCCCAAATGCAGTCTAATCATTTCTTTAATGAAAGGCAATTGATTTCTACAGGCATACATAAGTGGGATGGCATGTTTGGTGTTAGACTCAGGCCTGAAATCACCATACAGATTTGGCATGTTACTTACATCACCTTTAAGCCGAAGTTAAGTATACCCATATAACACAATGCTAACAACAGCAGTGCGTCAAGTTATTAATCGCTCATATTTTTGTGGAGTGCGCGGCCCAGTTGAGCAGGACGCAGGATGGTCGGTTGTCTAATCGTAAGGGCCTAAACTAAATAAAAATCGAACTGCTGAGCCAATAGATAAGTCTGTTATAGACGATTTTTCAGTGTGTTAAATATATATTAAACAGTTTCTATAAACGCGCTTACGAGCTTCTACAAACGAATATTAATCTGACAGCGATGTAATAGGGCTTAATTTTGCTAACAGAAACTTTCATTTGTGAATTTATCACTCAGCTAATACATCTCGTTGTGTTTTAGTGATAGACTTTCAATTAAATTTTAGTAATATATCCAACATATGCTACAGTAGGTCTAATTGAACGTAGCTACGTGTTAGCTAATCGGCCTAAAGAACTATTGAAAGCTCTGAACATTTTTACTGCACGGTCACCTACACCTGACCTGGGCGGAGCAGCGAACCCTGATATAGCTACTACTACTACTGGAAGCCGGCTGCAGTCTAGATCAGTTAGTCTTTACATCGAAATAGTAGAGAATGTTACCTTGTTATCGAAAGCTGCACTTAATAGAGCCATGGCGCACTTACTTTCAGTGACGCTAAGGCTACGCTACGAAATTTTTCCCATCTCGTTTACCTCTAGCTCGCCCTCGTCTATCGGTGAATTCTAAAGCTGCTGGCTCATACTAGAGAGGCCAATAGCTCCGAAGCGCACGAACGGCGTAACTGAGCCTGTAGCGCCCAGTGGCAAAGGATCAGCTTTGAAAACGTCAAAATGTAACGATTTTGAATCTTCACTGAATTTATAACCATAATGACGATAAATGGATAAGATGATGATAATTAATACGCAATACTCGTGATCATGAGGCGCGTGATGTTTACTAGTGAAAATAGAGCTAATCAGTCACACGGTAAAGCGCACTTGTCCATAAGCGTTATCGAATTCAGGCAAACATATACATCCATCAATTAGTACGTTACAGTATAGATAAGCACGATCTTCTATAATCGGTGTCTTCTTCACAATGCTACCACCTTCGTTCTATGAAGAGATAGTAGCTATAAAGGGGTGTACAACAATTTATTGTGATTATTTATATGAAATCAGTTTTCAGCATTCTTCGTTACTAGTGAAGTTGCATTGCGACAGTGAACTTATATAAAGAAAACTATCTATCATTTGATTTAATTATCATTTTGTCATAATTTCAAAAATTAATCACGATTTATAGTTAGGCTCATAACTAGACGCTTGTTAATAGAAAACTCACCATCTGGATAGTCTACAGGATGACAGATATGGAAAATTTTGCAGTCGTTATCAACATCCGCCCAGTACCCATATTTCTCCGGACATGTGAACGTTGTCTTGATCGGCCCAACAATCAGCTCGGCTCCATCTGGTAGCTCGTACGCCTCGATCGCTAGCGTCACCGAAAAACCTACAAAAAAAAAACTGTTCTTATAAGATTTATTCTCATAATAAACACGGAGCTGCGGTGCTGTTTGTGCTTACTTAGTAGTTAAAGCTTCGAACTTATGCTGTGACAATGAATTGAAACTGTAATTTCACTGACAACGGCACAGATTATATTAGACGTAACGTAAACCCTATTCAGATAATGTGACAGATTTAAAAAGCGCAAACACAAAAAAAAAAGCTACAAATTCGAATTGAGATCACAAAAACAATATTGTGCTTACTGAAAACTGTATCGGAATATTAAAACTATGACAAAAAAAAAAGCTATTTTTTTCTTGTTAAAAAATTTTTATTCAGCATACAATTTTTCAACTACCAATTACTATGTTCGAAATGAAGACAATAATCAATTAATGTAGATTTAGTGTATACGTTATGGGTGTATACATAATGTTTCGACGAAATGAAAGCGATCGTGAATATGTATAAACAATACATTACGTGTGTTTAATTTTAGGAAGTATTTTTGTTGGTATATGTAGTTTTCGTATGTAGTAGATCGGCTGAAATTGTGCGAGTCAGATCTAGTAATCTAGAAAATAATAATGATAAGCTTTCATAATTCGATAGCGACCTCTGATTAACGTTTGGTAGCCAGTAACACTATAGTTAGATAGTCGTGGCACGTCGGGGCAACGTATGCGTTGGGCAACTAATTCCGAAACCAACTGACGCCATAATCGGGACAACAATTGAATGTAGATTACATCTCTCTAAATAGAGACCAACGATCCCAATTTTATATATTCCTGCGTGCTACAAAAATGGCACACGTAATTCGACGCAGTGGTGAATCCACAATGGAGGCACAAGGGACAATCGAAGATAGTTGTAACCGCTATGTCTCATGGCATAATACCCAAACCTATCTATCCTCCTCAAAGAAATTATCCGTTCGTTTCTTCACGATTCGCTACTTCGGAACAATATGGTTTAACCTTGTATCACGTATCCGTGCCCATTAGGTACTAACCTCCGGCTAAGCAGATAGCTCCAACTAGCACGTTCATTGTCGAATCACTGTTTTCTCCTCTTCTTTCAATTTACCGAGCAGCTCTTATGCCTTATTCACGGTTGAATGATCGTTATTACGTGACAATGAAGGGGCAAATCGACGGAACGCCGAGTAGGGGAAAGGAAGACTCTGTCAATCTCGCCAAAGTGTTGGTTACTCATTCGCAGAAGTGAGCGTTTTCGTGTTCGTGAGCACCTCCTTGCAATGAAGTCTTGTCTTGAGCGATGAACGTTGTCGCCCGAAGTTTTCCGCATTTGCGATGCTTTGCGCAATTCCTCCCGTAATTGTTTCTCAGTTCTCCATTTTCCCTATTTTCGCCTCCGTTCGGCTTTTCTGGGTCGCTGATGCTCATGACGTTGTTTATCGCCTGCTGTGATGTTAATGTTACCAGCTATTTACTTTGGCACTTAGTAGTCACAAGGGACAGTGGGGATAGGCACCAACAGCGTCGATAAAGAGCGCAAAATGGAAAACGAAAGGCTTTGCCTGTTCAAGGGCTGTGCGCGTGCTGTTGATTAGTGATAGTAGAGGGCGACGTCTTGCATGTAATGCTTATCAAGTACAGATCCGATTGTCTATGCGACGAATGTCTTTTGCAATGTGTTCTTCCGTGGGAAATCATCATGCACGCGTACCGTGTGTAGGTGCTTTTAATAGCAGTGAAACTCCAACTATGACGTAATGCCCCGATCGGTACGGTCATACTGATGCGATACAGTTCTGCATTGCTTGACGTTGTCGCTATAAGCGCTGATGTGTAAACGCCATTGGACGTACCGTATACTGTATGGTAAGTTAACTGCGCCGAGCAGGAGAAGTAAAGACGGAGACAAGTCGCAAACGTCAGCCACTTGAGTACGACAACAATAAACAAGCTAGAGTTTCTTCTTGGGATAGATGAACTAGACAGTGAAAAGGACAGTAGGTGCGGAAAATGAGGAAAACAACAACGGGCTTCTATATCCGCCGGTGATCTCGGCATTGTTTGACTCTCAGGCAAAAAGGCGTAAAGATAATGAAGTATCCTAGAGTTTGTCTTTCGATCCTTCTTCCGTGTTGTAGATACCGCTTATCGAATGACAATGATGGAAGACTAATTGTCAATGAGCGTTAGTTAATAATGCATGTCAGAAAAATCGTTCATTAATGATAGAAACCATCCATGCCTGTCGAAAAAAAAGCGTAGGTTCATACATGCTAACTTTCGTAATGCTTTGGGAAATAGAGACATTCAATAAGGACAATAATACATAACACATGTTACATATATATAGAAATAAAAAACAGTGTCGCCGTACTTATGGTCACATTGACACCGAAACGATCAGTTCGACGTGCTAGACACGCCTGCTTAGTTTCGAAAACAAGCTCACACACAACTTATGTACATGCGGCACACGTGCATTACCTCATGATAAATACACTTTGAGCAGAGGCCACTACTTTGATTAAGTAGATAGCTTTGAATCCCGTTTTTTTTCTGGGTTCGCTCTAGCAATAGATCTCTTTAATTGAATATGACACGGCATGATGAATGAACCACAGTAAGAAGGAGCTATTAGACGTGTTATTGCAATACAGTAACAATAATATGGCACACTTGATCACCGTTAAGACCTATATTTGAGGCTCTTTCCAGACAGCCCTTATATTGTTTGCAAAAAATGCTTCCGCAAAAATAACTTCGAGGTTCGAGTTGTGCACCTAACTAATAGGTTCTCGGCGTAACTAAAGGTAGCGTCCATTTGGAATTTCTGGAAATTAACACAGGTATAATATTGGCTCCTGACAATTAGCAGATATAGGAGAAAAATATTGATCGAAACGTTTTGAATACGTTACGGTAACGGGCAGCCTCATGTAAGTCTGTCTAGGTTGAGAAATACGCCATGCTTGCTCTTCGAATGAACCTGTCGTCCATAGTGGTCTGTGCGTTCTGGACCTACTGATCGTAACTTGTTTCTATAGAAATCAAGCTTTTCGAGGTGGATTATAGTAATTTTCGTACGTTAAGGACTAGGACTAGAGGCATGCTTAGGTAAGCAGAAGACGTCATGATACTGATTAAGTGAATCCCTTAAGGTTCCCCGTAATAAGCCTAATATTTGCTTTCTATACTGAAATTGCCGCCGATATGATTTCGTACACTTCAGACACATCAAGTGGACGAAATACGACACATTGTAAGTGTTAAAAGCATATAGCTTAATCTATAAAGCATGTAAATAGTCTAGAACAAAGTTATATTTATGTTACTTAATGACATTGTTAGCTAGTTCTCAGGTAAAGTCGATTAGCTTTAGATCAGGTTATTAAAAGCCTAAATACGGGACCTATATTGACGTAACCGGAAATCTAATTACTACTGCGTAGTAAAGTTACGAGGCCTTCGATGCGAGATGAAATCGGTAGCGGTGAGGCGTATGTGCTAATTGTCTCCACAGAATATTAGGTTAACTTAAATATGAGCTTGTATAATACATAACAGCGTCGGGTGGGACGTTGCTACAGGCTTCTGTGTGAAAATGAACCAAATGAGAAAGCCGGGCGTACGGCACATGGTGTGGTAGCCGGTGGTCCAAAATACATTTTTGTTACGCAGTTGTATACCGTTGCAATAAATACTAACTGTTGATCTTGTCGAGCAAGGTAATTCTTAATAGCCACGATATGGATTTTAGGTTGCAGTTCGCAACTTCTCATCCTAGGATCACATACGCACTTCATTGAAGAATCGATAGCCAATTTGAATATTCCGAGATATTGTCTTTAGACTCAATAGACCGATAACCTGTTCACTGAATAAATGTTTAGTAATACACGGATGCGTGAGCATGTGCGATCCTCTTTGTAATGATCCAACAATGGATTTCATCGATAAATCCTTTTTTGTGTTCCTAAACATTTCACTAGTGCAGGATGCGTAGACTCCATTCGATTAAATTTTTTTGCCGTAAAGGGCAATTGTTACGGTTCGTATACCTGTTTCCTGTTATTAGTAACGCTGTTGAATTAGGAGACCGTTGCGTTCCATTTTAGGTTCTTCACTGAGCTGAAATCTGTAACAAAACAGTCGACTTTGTTCTATGATTTGGGGTTGTTATAAACGAGAGATTGCTATGAAGGTCGGAGGCTACGACTTAGGCTCTGTGAAAGATCGCGATATTACGGTGTTTAGATACTAAACGGCTGATAGGGGTTTTTCGGTCTCTAGCGAACTTGAAATTACCGTTATTCTGTCGTCATGGGTAGGCATGCTTGGTTTCGTTCTGGGGGGCTAACTGCCCCAGGCAACGTTTAACGGCCGTACTGGACTATAAACTCAAAACACTAAACTTTCGCTCAGTGACAAGTAGTTATTATTTACCAATTACCGAAAAACTGACCCTTCAAGCGAAAGTACATCACTTGTATTATAATGCAACAATAGTTGCACTAGGTAACTCAAGTTATATCGGCTATCTTCGCCTCTTGAATATTTCACTCATAGGTACTCTTGCGACTAGCTAATCATTGAGCGCTGAAGGCTATAAAGAAGGTTAACAGAGGATAATGAGGCTATTAGGTACGCCTGAAGTTCATGGATAGCTTGCAAGTAGAAATAAATTTTAGTTAGGTTGAATTTCCCCATCATCGCACGAACCTAAATATTCAACTTCACAGCATTTGAGGCACTTCGTGTGGTTGAAGGTTGATTCTATTTGTACGACATTTAGAGATGTAGGACAGTTTCGGGCATTTCAATATGGTTTCAATGGTTTAGGATTCTATAATAGAGCGCTGTCCACGTTGATAATTTATATGAACTTTGCCAACGATAGAATAACGTTGCATATTATATGTTGAAATAAATTACACTTTATATGATTATGATCTCCTTATGCCATTAGGTTCGTAATCATTATACGTGTATATAGTGACGTTGTCGGTTTTCGCAACAATTCTAACAATAGAACAGTGTCACAAAATATTTTTTTTTCGTTATTATATAATTTAGCCTTACTTTAGCGACTTTCAACAGTATTTACCATAAAGAAGATAGGGCGCGCGCCACGGAAGTTCAGTAGTAAATGTTGTAGTTTTCTTACTTCAATGGGCCATCCCAAAACGTCGTAGATACAAATTTTTAATGAATATGTCTTCTCTAAAGCTCTTGCGACTTTGTTTAAGATTCTAACAGTAGATACAGTGATTCAATGGTAATAGAATTCGGCAAATAGGACGGGCTAGGTGCCTGTATCAGTAAAAGTGCGTCCACTGATTTAGCTGATATGCAATTTACGTACTCAAAACGGACGCTGACTTAGTCAATTAATCACATAGGAATGTTGCTGTGTACAGAGATGCAAGGGGTTTATACCGTAAAGAATACAAGCTAGATCCGTTCGAACACGGTCGTTTGATATGGACCATGGAACCATATTTCCATCAGTAGTCTTTACGATATTTAATTAGCAATCTGTATTTGGCAAACAAAGAAAATATAGGCGACGAACAAACGAACCTTAATCAAGAAGGAGGCAAAAAACACGTTTTTATTTTATATATATAGGTGTTTTAAGGCAATAGAGCTTACGTATCTTTTTCTACCATTTCTTTCATGAAGCAGCATTAGGTCAGCATATGCATAGATTTTCATTTATCAGGAGATACGTCTGCCTTATTAAACGTTGAACAAACACTTCAGTGCAACGATATTTGCCTCTTAACTTCAGTTTCTTTTCTGTGTCAGCGTTTTTCTGGCCACTCCAGCCGCACAAACGCAAGAGGTCACGGGTCAAGGATCATATATGATACCCCTTTATTACTCGCTCCGTCGTTAGCTCTGACGTTATCATCTCTCAATAGAGAAACAAACGTAGTTAAACTGGGTTCACGCTGCCAGCTAAATTGCAAAATGTATTCGATTAGTAACGACAGAAATGTTCATTGATTCAAGAAAAGTTAGGGCGGACGACCACTGCCACGTAACACCGTTCGCAGTCACCGCAACGCTCACCGGCCGGACCTGTGACGCCAGGTAAATCGCCGGCTACATGTTTTGCTTTTGTACTATACTACAGTTTCCTGTCTGCTTGACCGCTAGTAACCAAATGATAGAATAGACCCAAATTAGAAACTCGGTTGGTTAGGATGTTATTTTTCTGGAATGTTGAAACGTTGATCGTATTTTAAAAAATTTCCAATTACGAGTGTGGTAACGGGAGCGTCACGTCCTATCGCACAGTAGCGGATCGAAAAATACGATGAGATTGATAAAAAATGAAAGCGTCATTTTCTCTAAGTGTAAGTCATGTGACAGCAGCTAGCTAGTTTTAGAGCAAATATTATCTAGACAAGGTACGAATCTCATTGTCGTTTTAATTAAGTACTGTTTTCTACTTCCCAAATCAAATCGGACGACACATACGGTGTAACGGGTTGCCCTGTCCT